ACGAGGTGAGTTTCACTGGTGTCACGCAGGGAGGAATTTCCTACTTCTTACTCACAGAAATCCAAGAAAGAGCGAAGAGCTCTGTCTTCTGCCGCCAGACATAACCACTAACTCCAAAACCTGAAAGCAAACTCCCGCAGCAACCCGACACGTGACCAAGGCTCTACACATCCACCACTGTGGGAAGAAAATGTACCCACAGAAATTCACTCCTTGTCACAGAAGGCTCATGTGTTAGCACCGAAGTGGCTGTCGAAGCGTCTTTAATGACAGTTCACCTGCTCAGAATTTCACAACAAGCAGACACACAACGCTTCCTTTCCGGTTCAATCCAGTTTATCTCCTCTCCTCAGTAGGGTGGCATTTGCCATCCCCCTGCACTTTGAACCAGTTTTATGATTTTATCTTCATGGCAACGGAGCCTCCGCTTGGAGGAAGAGCACTTATTAACTCTGAGACAGCGTCGTTTTCGAAGTGATTTATTTGATGAGGGTTTTGAAATAAATGATCAGTCAGTGATTGGCCATAGGGGAAAAAGCATATAAAAGATTACCACATGCATTGAACATACCATCTGGTATCCTTTAAAATCTAGCTTCAGGGTGGCTCAGCTAATTCTTCAGAGTGCTTGATGTTCGCAGAGCACAGTGAGGCATGAATAGAAGAGCGAGTGACATCTCCCTGAAAGAATCAGCACTGGAACTGAAGATTAATATCTTATATCTCGCTGTTCCGGTCCATCAGCAAGAGACTGGCATTTCCTTAATGAAAACCGACGTTACATTCCAGAATTTTAAATTTGTTATTAAAAAAATAATGAGAAAATAAACTCTAATCCTTTTATTTTCGGGTTGGATAGAAAAGGAATGCCTCCACTGTGTCTCGGTTCCTCCTGACTAGCTGATGTAAAAGGGAGGTACAAAAAAGATATTGTTATTGTTCCCCTGAATTTACTGTTCGTGGCATGAACAGCCCTGCGGGTGAGATAAATTTTCCTGACTCTGATGCCTGTCACAGCCCAAGAGCTGCGTTATTGTCCCCGAAAAGTACTGAATCGGACAATTTAAGTATTGTCTCTTGGTCTTTTAGCCCCAAACAAAGGCTGAGGCAGGCAATTATGCCCAATTTTGTCACTGAAAGACAAGAGAGCTGCTGGCAAACCAGAGGGAGTTCAGCAGGAGGAGGGGACGGAGCACACAGGGCGTGAAGAGAGGCTGTGGAAATTGTATTTCTGAGCAGGGAGAGAGGGGAGGAAGGACCTCAGCACAGCCTCCAGCCACGCAGGGGGTGGTACTGAGCGGGCAGATGCTTCACAGAGGTAGGTGGAGGAAGGAAAAGCCCCGAGTGCAGCAAGGGAAAGTCTGACGGGATGCAGGGAATAACGGCAGCACTCACAGGGACCGTGTTTTGGGACTGAAGGTCCGGAGAGGTTGTGCAATCTCCGTCTGTGGAGACACTCAGAACTCACTCAGACAAGGTTCACAGCTACCCCTGTTTTGAGGCAGAGGTTAGACCAGAGCTTCCTTCCAACCCAAATATTTATGTGACGCTGAGCTAAAAATGGAGTGGCAAATGCTTGCATTGCACAGGCAGCAGCACAGGCCCTGCAATGCAGGACTGGAATAACGAACTGCTATTCCACCAAACAGCCTTACTGGATGATTTAAGTTCGTAATTGCATCCCAACTTTTGTTTTCCATTACATAATTCAGTGTACAAAGTAACACCTTCCAATAGGATGTGGCCACGACTCAGTGTTAGCCCTGCCTTTAGTCCTATTCCTGGCACTAGGATGAATCAATTGAACATTAATTCCACAGTGGCACAGGTTGCCCGGAGAAGCCGTGGATGCCCCATCCCTGGAAGTGTTCCAGGCCAGGTTGGACGGGGCTTGGAGCAACCTGGGATAGTGGAAGGCATCCCTGCCCACGGCAGGAGGTTGGAACGAGATGGGCTTTAAGGTCCCTTCCAACTCAAACCCAAAACTGTCTGTATCTCTTCTTACAGCCTTCAGCATATACAAACACAGAGAAGATGAGCTGCATCTACCCAAAGGAGTGGAAAAAAATTCAAAAGTTCATCGTCCTTTCTGCTTCTACACGTCGTGTGTCCCAACGTGAAGCTTGGCTGGTGGGGTTATTGATTAAAAATGCCGTTACAGCCCCAGTCTGATATTTAAAGTGAGACATCCTCGCTGTTGTCAGCCTCGTGTTTGCTCATTAATTAGGGTTTCTAACTACCAGATTGCTCAGGAAGAAACCTCCTGCTCTGGGGACTCCTGCTGTCACCACTGGCAGTCCAGGACACGGCAGCAGCCGCCCACGGCGGGGTCCTTTCCGAGCATGGAAAAGCAAAGATGCCCAGCACACAGCTGGGAGGAGGATTGATTGCACTCTCTGTTTGCTCATTCCTCCCAGTGAGGAGGCCACGCCACAAGGGCTGTTTGGACAGGAATTCCCAGGGATGGCTGTACTCGGGAAGGAAATTGCAAAAGAGCTGTGAAGTCAGCCCGAAATTTTCCATGGCTTTTATTTAAATTCAGAGGGGAGGTTAACTGAATTATCGTGCCATCATGGGATGGGGTCTATAGTGAAGACCCTTTTAGTTTTGGTAGTCATGATTTGTGCAAACCAATAAGTAAAAATACTGCAGTTTCATGCCTGTTACAGCTGCCACAGGACCATAGAATCACAAACTGGTTTAGGTTGGGAGAGACCTCAAAGTTCACTTAGGTCCCATGGGCAGGGACACCCTCCACTAGCCCAGGTTGCTCCAAGCCCCATCTAACCTGGTCTGGAACACTTCCAGGGATGAGGCAGCCACAACTTCCCCTGGGTAACCTGGGCCTCCCCACACTCACACCCAACAATTCCTTTCCCAATGTTCTTCCCGATGGGGCTGCCCTCTGGCAGTGGGAAGCCATTCCCCCTTTTCCTGTCTCTCCAGGCCCTTGTCCAAAGTCCCTCTCAAGTTCTCTTGGAGCCCCTTTAGGTCCTGGAAGGGGCTCTCAGGTCTCCCTGGAGCCTTCCCTTCTCCAGGTGAACACCCCCAGCTCTCCAAGCCTGGCTCCAGAGCAGAGGGGCTCCAGCCCTCCGTGGCCTCCTCTGGACTTGCTCCAGCAGCTTCATATTCTCCTAATGTTGAGGACCCCAGAACTGGACACAGAACTCCAGTGGGGTTTCAGGAAAGCGGAGCAGAGGGGAAGAATCCCCTCTTCACCCTGCTGCCCACGCTGCTGGGAATGCAGCACGGGATGCACTCGGCTTTCCGGGCTGCCAGCGCCCGGATCCTGCCCCTGCTGCTGATTTTCCCCTGTTACTTCAGAAAAGGCCGAATAACAACCTTGAGACGCACAAGCAGATGTCACTTCCAAGGGAAGGGCGCCAGAGCCCGGGACACCCCCGTCGGCATGCGCTGGGCATCGCCCGTGCCCGCGATTCTGCTGAGTTTAACGGAATTATCCGGGCATGGAATGGCTCGGGATTAGTGCCATAGCTGGGAAGGGCAGGGCAGGGAACCACGCGGTGCAGCCACGGGGAACACGGAGGGACACGGGGAGAGGGCGCCAGGAGAAATCCTGCCCAGACCTCAGGAGCGGCTTTAGGTCTGGGATGTGGAAACGGGACAATTTGGGGTAACTTTAAATGGAAATTTGGTGGGATTTGGGGCCAGCTGAGGGGAAACCCTGGGTGGTGGCCACGGCCTCCAAGGCTGGCAGAGCTCAAGGAGCACTCGGAAAAGGCTCTCAGGGACAGGGCGGGAATGTTGGGACTGTCGGGATGGTGTTCAGATGTTCCTACCGGACAGGAAGAAAGAAAACCAGCATTGAGTTTTCAGATCCATGAGAAATAGCAGTTTATATGATTATTAATGACACTGTTAAACACGACAGGAGTCTGCTGAAGTGTTTGCACCGGTGGCTGTCGGCCAGCCACAGGTCTGGAGAAATCAACACCGAAAACACTTTTACTGGAAACATCCACAGTCATTTAGCTCATACATAAGAAGATTTAGGAATTTCTTGTATCTCTGGACTTTTTGGGTTTTTTCCCCCTAAAGTGCCAAACAGACAGAACCGCAAGCACTTTGCTTTCTTGGGTCTTTTTGTTTTTTTTTTTTCCGGTTTCTGCGACGGGTCTCGGTCTTGAGCTGTACGGGTTTCGATTAACGGGGTAGGGAGGGACATAAAACCCCAAGTTGCTGCTTTATTTTTTTATTAAAGCCAAAGGGATGAAAGCGGAGCCCCAAGGACGGGGCGGGGGGGGCGGACCCAGGGCCGGGTCCCCTCAGGGGGCCGCGCCCTCCCCTCAGGGGAGGAGTCACGTGACACACCCCGCCCCGCGCGCGCTGGCGCGTCGTCACGTGGCCTTCTCCCGGTTGGGGTGGGCGTGGCCTGACGTATGGGGGAGTGGTTACCACGCCACAGCTTGGGGGCGTGGCCAATGCGATGGGCGTGGCCTGCCCTATAGCTACTATGGAAAGGGGGCGTGTCCAGATGTAGGCGCGGGTTGTGACGATTTGGGGGCGTGGCCAGATGGGCGATGGGCGTGGCCAACGACGCGGCGGTTCATTGTCGTGACGATGGAGTGGGCGTGGCCGCACCGGGAGGGCGGGCGTGGCCATGCCGAGGTGGGCGTGGCCACGCTGGAGGGGGTGGGTGGGCGTGCCCGAGCGCGCGCCGCCGGTAGCCCCCTCCTCCCGGTGCGGCGCGGCGCGGTGGGCGTGTCGCGCCGTGACGCAGTTCCGGTTCCGGCGCCGTCGCGGTGGCGGTGGGCGCTGCGGTCGCTCCCGGGCCTGGGCTGGGCCGGTCCCCCCAAAATCAGGTACCGGGGGGGGGATGGGGCGGCCCCGCCGCGCACACGGGCTCTGCGCCCGCGGGGGGCAGCGCGGAGGGGCGCGGGGTGGGGGGCGGCTCCGCCTCGCACCGTCCTCCCCCCACCCCGGAGGTGCCGGGCCCCGCGGAGGGCCCAGGGGGTGTTGGTTGTGGCGGCGGTGGTGGCTGCGCTGTCCTGGCCGGGTGGGATATTTCGTCAGCTTTTTTATTTGCGCTGCATGGCCGTCATTTATAAATAAGCGTGAATCGCGTGTGAGTGGTTTTAGCCGGGGGAGGGTTCCTCCCTTAAGGGAGGGCTCAGGAAAGTCAAGGTTTGATTATATCACGTTTTAACACATCCTTTATGCTGCAGGGCGGGCCAGCGCTGTGTTGTATCGGTGCCCCCCGAGAGCTGCCGGCCCGGCGGGTTCAATTCCCGAGGGAGAGCTTGTTCCCGGCTGGAATTCCCTGCCGATCCGGGGCTGCTCAGCCCCCCTCACTGCCGGGGAACGTCCGAACAAAGGGGGCTGCTTTGTCTTTTTTTTTTTTTGAAGCAAAACCGACACGCCCCGAAACTGCCCTTGCCGGGAGCGGGGGGATCGGCGGCTGCCCTGCCTGGAGAGCGCTCGGGATGTTCTTCCTGGAGCTTGAGTTCGTCCCGGTGCGTTTTAGCGGTGCCAGAGGGAGACGTGAGAGGTGCCAGTTGTGAGATTGGCTCCTGGAAAGGTTTGTAGTTTGTTTTGTGGGTTTTTTTTTGTTTTTTTTTTCCTGTGAAGGAGTCTCTGATGAGGAGCGGAAAGGTTTGTGTGGGTTTGTTTGCCGGAGGGGAGGCTTCAGCTGGGATGTGACACGTGGTTTTGGTGTTTTTACTCACTGAAACTGGAAGAGAGCAGGTTTAGGTGGGATGTTGGGAAGGAATTCCTGGCTGGGAGGGTGGGCAGGCCCTGGCACAGGTTGCCCAGAGAAGCTGTGGCTGCCCCTGGATCCCTGGAAGTGTCCAAGGCCAGGCTGGACAGGGCTTGGAGCAACCTGGGATCACTACCCAGGTGTCCCTGCCCGTGGCAGGGGGGTGGAAATGGATGATCTTTAAGGTCCTTTCCAGCCTAAACCAGTCTGGGATTTTGGGATGAGAACGGGCTCTGTGGCTCTCAGCAAAATCCAGAGGCAGCTCTGAAGGATCAGTTCGAGTTATTCCAAGCTCCTGGACTAACCAGGGCTGGGTGGTGTGGCCAGGAGGAACCTTTGGGCAGTGGAGACTTTTGTTTTCTTTTTTTTTGGTGGTGGTTGATAATTTACAGTTTTGTGGTCGCTCCCTCTGAAACTTCCAGGCCTGGAAGTGTGAAAACCACAGCCAGGTCTGCCTTTTGTCCCTTTTTATCAGTCAAAACAGACAATGGGGGAAGGGGCAGGAATATCCTCAGGCCTGCAGATGATGGGGCTGTTCAGTTTGCCTTTGTTCTCCCCGCTGGATTAAACCCCCCAGGGCAGACTAAAGGATTTATGGCCTGTGAGAAGGTGAGGAAAGGGCCAGAGGAGGCTGCCAAGATGATCAGAGGGATGGAGCACCTCTCCCAGGAGGAAAGGTTGAGAGAATTGGGATTGTTCAGCCTTCCAGGCTGAACAATCCCAATTCTCTCAGCCTTTCCTCCTGGGAGAGGTGCTTCATGAGAGAGACTTTGGACAAAGGGCTGGAGGGACAGGACACAGGGAATGGCTTCCCACTGCCAGAGGGCAGGGTTGGATGGGACATTGGGAAGGAATTCCTGGCTGGGAGGGTGGGCAGGCCCTGGCACAGGTTGCCCAGAGAAGCTGTGGCTGCCCCTGGATCCCTGGAAGTGGCCAAGGCCATGTTGGATGGAGCCTTGGAAAAACCTGGGCTAATGGGAGGTGTCCCTGCCCAAGTCAGGAGGTTGGGAACTGGGTGATCTCCCAGATCCCTTTCCAACCCAAACCATTCCATGGTTCCATCCAGGCCAGCTCCGAAGTGTTGATGTTTCAACGCCCGGAGCTGCAGAAATTTGCATATTTTCGGAAAGCATTTCCCAAGCTGTCAACAAAGATTCGGTGTCTCTTCCATTTTTCTTCTCCCGGCGCTATGTTGGGTAGTTACACTTCATGTGGGCAGGAATCCTGTTGTGGATGAGGTTATGCTGGCAGGAATTAGTCATGTTTGGAGTGACAAAAGGAACCTCTCTCTCTGTGCCGAGGGAGCTGTGCCACCCAGTGGAAATGCAGCACAGCCTGTTGCATCCAGAGAGCCTGGATTATTTTTTTTTTTTTTTTTTTTTTTTTTGGGTTTTTTTTGGTTTTTTTCCTGGGTTTGAAAGATGATCTCGGAGACAGGAACTAAATCTGGCACGTCAGGTGCTGGGGAAATGTCACACAACTCAAAAGAAGTGGGAAGGCGGTCGATGCTTGGTTTGGGGTAAGGAAGAAGAAAAAAGTGCTTTGGGCAGCTCTTTCTGACGAGGGTCCCTGAGGACTGGTGGTGGATAAAAGCCAGGAAAGGCGAGAGCATGGGAAAAAACGCTGCTAGATCCACCCCTTTTGGTGGGATGGATGAGACCAGAGAGGGTTTGGAGCTCCCAGAACACCGTGGAGCTGGTTTGTTGTGGAAGCCGTTTGTAGGATTGTGATTTAGCACAGCACACACCAAACCTCCAGGAACAGGGATTTCAGACCCCTCAGCAAGTCATCAGCTGGTTGTGAGCACTTGCTGGTGGAACTCTCCTGCCAGTGCCATGCTGGAGTTGTGCTTCCCAGCCTTTCTCTTCCCAGCCTGTGGCTCCTCTCACCTCCCTGCTGTTACTTTTCGGGAGCAGCTCCTGGGTGTCCTGAAGATTTTGCTGTGTGTGGTTTCTGGGCAGGTGCAGTGAAGCCCTTCATCCCTCTCAGGGCTCTCCAGGATGAAGGATGAGAGGGATTGAGCTCCTAGAGGCCTTTTTTGCAGGCATGGATTGTCTCTCTCCGTCCTTCTCTTCCCTTTGGTGCTTCTGGCCATGTGTGTGTCCTCAGAGGTGGCTGGGAAGTGGTGCCCTGACCAGCTGGACCTGGAGCTGGCAGGCTCTGGGGCTGCTGGAAAGCCAGGGATGTTTCCAGGGGCGTTGGCCTTGGGAAAACAAAGGAATTCTTACCTTACAGTGGATGCAGCGGGACTTGGGTGTGAGTGCTGCCAGCTCTGCCGCCTCTCTGCTCCCTGCCAGCTGAACCCTCCTTCCATGTGCCCTTCCTTCAGCCCAGCTCCAGGAAAGGATAATTTGGAGCAGGGTTTAAAGTCTCTTGCACCAAAGGGGCTTTTCTCTGCTCACCTCAGGGCAGGAGGAAAGCTTAGAGAGAAAAGGAGAGGCCGCTGGTTAATTCGCTGAGTCTAAAAAACCCCGTCGAGGCACCGCTCAGTGTGGGATTTTTCCTAAATTCTTGAGCCCACCTGTGACTTCCAAATTCACTTACTCGGAGGTCTGCTGGGCATGTGAGTGCCTTGGGCAATACTTTAGTGAGCAGGATTGATATTTCTGTGAGGTTTTGACTGCAATCCCTGTGGTGTCGAACGACCCGAACGGAACATGGATTCCGGATTTAAGTACAGATGAGTTCATCTGTTGCCTGAGCGTGTCTGAGGGGTAATTTCAGTTTCTTTCCTCTGAAACGAAGGTGGCAGTGCCCAGATTAAATGTCTGTTTAAAAAACATCCCTGAAATAGGCCATCCTGTCTGCAGGAGGATCCTTGACATGCTTGGCAGGGGCTCAGTTATCCCAAATGTTGCCAACAAATGTTGCTCTTGTCTGCTTGCCAAAGTAAAAGAGCCACTAAATCTCATTACAAGCTATGCTTAACTACCTTTTTTTTTCCCCCTCATAAATCATGCAGCAGAATTGTCCCCTTCCTTTTCACGGCCCAGAAATATTTGGGAATCATCTGCTAACAAATATTATTGGGGATGTTGGTTGATATTTGGTGATCAGCTGTGCTCATCCCCTGCTTGGCTTGAATTTACTCCTCTCTCTGTCACTTCTGTGACATATCACAACATTTTCTTCTGAGTTCCCCTTTAGGTTTGTCACCTCTTTTCCTTCTCCCCCTTTGCAGCAAATGTTGCAGCTTCTTCTCAGGGATTATTTTTTGATCTCTTGTAGGTCTGTTTTTCAGTTGGTTTTATCCCATCTCTCCTCATCCCTAAAGGAAGGAGGATTCTCTTGGCCTGTTTTGGTGTTGCTTTTTGATATCATGATTTTTAATTATTATTATTATTATCATCATCATCACTACTACCTTTGCATGTACACTTATTTAAAAGGTTTGGTTTTTTTTACTTGTATTTATATTAATGAATGATTTCTCACATTTTGTGGGTTTTATTAAATAACTTCTGTGCCCACAGAGGTGGATTGAACTCCGGTGCCACTGAAAAGCACATGTCAACTTATTCTTGTTGAGTGTGGATCACTGCAAAAAATAATGAACTCTTAACTTAAGAGCTGTTTATTGAGGAGAAATTGAGGGGTTTTTTTCCTGGTTGATGTCTCTGCAACATCTGAGCTGTTAATAATGGGAGCAGAAACCACTTTCCTGATGTAGTTCAGTTGGTTCCTCAATTTTAAACAAACAGTCATTGATCTGAGACAAAGATCCTTTACTTGAAGGAGCTGCTGCTGTTGTAAATTAATGCTGGAGCCTGAACAAACCTTCAGATTGATAAAGTCAGGGCCCTGAATTCCACCCAGGTGTTAACTTTGTAGATGTGTGTTTCTTAAAAAAGCCTTATTGAAATTATTAGGTGTTTCTTGAAAGGTTTATTTCAATTAATGGGTATTTCTTAAAGGTTTATTTAAGTTAATGGATATTTCTTAAAAGGTTTATTGAAATTATTAGGTGTTTTCTTGAAAGGCTTATTTAAATTATTAGGTATAACTTGAAAAGTTCCCTGTGTTTCCACAGAGGTCTGGCTTGCTCCCTGTGCTCATAAATAACTTGGGAAATGGGATGAGCAGTGTCCTGTTGATATGAAACCGTTCAGGAAAGTAAGGATTAGGTGATAAATCAGCAGATATAATTCAGTGGTGATAAATCTGATGTAACTCAGAGTAGATAAATGTAGAGTGGTGCACATAATTTCACATACAAAATGATGGGCTGACCCTTAACACCGGGGAATGAAATACTGCTCAGAAGTGGCAGTTCCACGGGGATCAAAAAGCAGATGGAACGTTAAGAAGTGTTAGGAAGGAAATAGAAGGCAAACCAGGGCATAATTATGAGACTCTATAAATCAGTGGTTATCCCCCATCCTCAGTCCTCTGTGGTTTTTTTTTTTTTTTTTACTTGTCATTCATCCCAAGAGATACAAAAGACTTGGGAAAGCCTCAAAGAGAGGCAGGGAGAACAATCAGAGGTGTGGAAAAGCTGCTGCACGGGGGGGAGGTCAGTGGGACGAGCTGGAGCTCAGCCTGCAGGAGGGACAGCTGAAAGAAAGTGGTAAAAATCTGGAGGATAATGATCAGCACGGGGAGGTGGATAAAGGCAGGCTGGCTGATATCCTCAGCTGCCAGATTGGAGGAGCAGCAACCAAACCCGGTGAAATCCAGGCTTGGAGATGGAAAAGAAGGTGCCTTTTTGTGCAACAAAGAGCAGCCCGTGGAGTTCCTGGCCAGTGGGTGTTTTAGGAACAACCTTGAGGCAGGGAAATGAGAACATCCCCATATCCAAGTGGGGGGATTGGACGTGTTAGTGAAAAAGGAGTTATTTGGGGGTTGTTACCCCAAAGAAATTGCCTGCAACTTAAGGAAGTGTCTGAGTTTGGAGTCGTGGAGGTGTTTGGGGTGATGGCCATCCCTGTTGCTGTTCCTCCCTAGGGGTCATTGTTAAGGTGAAATGGGATGCTGAGCTAAATGGCCAGAAGTGTCCCAATATTAGGAAGTTGTGCAGGTAGTAATAAACCTACAGTGCAGTTTCAGAGGAGACTGTCTAAATTACAGAATGCAAATCATGTGGATACACATTAACCTAATGGAGCTTACAAACCTAATTTGATCTGGGCTGTCTGAGACCCCTCTCGGTGTTAGGAGTCAGGGCTTCACCATCAACAAGGGGGAACAGGATTGTTTTTTCCTGGGGGTCACCCTGGCAGTAGTACTTGAACTCTTGAGCTCTATTTTTGCATTTCTCCTCCCCTTCTGCTCCTCTCTGTCCCCTGCACTCTTCCCTAAAACCTTCTGGCTTGTCCACCTCTGTCACCTGCTCTTGGTCACCTTTTTGAGGCTTCCTCACCTTCCTAGTCAGTGTTTGCTGTCAGTCAAACCAGACAGAACTTTGCCCTTTTGTGTGGCTGGTCAGGAGTGACAAAGTTGCCTTCATGGAAAGGTAGAACACGGCTCAGGGGTCCCTGTTTTCAGTGGTGCTTGCAAGTGTGGAGGGGTTGGAAGTTGGTTACACATCAGTGACAGCTTTGGCAGGTCTGTGGTCAGCTGCTGGAGCCAGTGGAGGTAAATAAGAGCATCCACTGCCTTTAGCGTTTTATGGAGTAATTGGAGGATTAAAGCATCGGCAAATTACAGTTCTTTTGTTTCTGACAGTAAGAGCTGTGTGGGGATTCCAGCTCTGGGGCTCCCCAGCATAAGGATGTGGAGCTGCTGCAGTGAGTCCAGAGGAGGCCATGGAGATGCTCTGAGGGCTGGAGCCCCTCTGCTCTGGAGCCAGGCTGGGAGAGCTGGGGGGATTCACTTGGAGAAGACAAGGATCCAGGGAGACCTGAGAGCTCCTTCCAGGGCCTAAAGGGGCTCCAAGAGAGTGGAGAGTGACTGGGGACAAGGACCTGGAGTGACAGGACAAGGGCTGACAGAAGTCAGGGTTAGATGGGATATGGGGAAGAAATTCCTGGCTGTGAGGGTGGGCAGGCCCTGGCACAGGTTGCCCAGAGAAGCTGTGGCTGCCCCTGGATCCCTGGAAGTGTCCAAGGCCAGGCTGGACAGGGCTTGGAGCAACCTGGGCTAGTGGAAGGTGTCCCTGCCCATGGCAGGGGGTGGAATGAGCTGCTCTTTAAAGGTCCCTTCCAACCCAAACCATTCCACGATTCTGTGATTTAATCATGTTTTGGTTTAGATGCATTGACTTCACCTGCAACAATCCTGCCATGCCTCTTCCAAATCCCAATTTAGAAAACACCTGGAGTATTTCCAAGGCATCCCTGTATATTTTATTTCCATTACCTTGTACCCTGGGTCTGGTGTGGGCCAGAGTCACTAAAACCAAGGCACCAGGAGGTGCTTCCAGTGAGACCAGCGTAGGCGCCTCAGGAAGCCTTGCTTAAAGAATACCTTTATTATTTTCAACAAATTTCACTTTATCTTACCTTACTTTTCAGCGCAATGTCTGGAACTGATGATTTTTCGGTAAGTAACAGTTTTTCTTTCCTGAAGATCAGCCACTTGTGTTCCTTCTTTCTAAAGGTTTTTGGAGGAGAAGGGGGGAGCTGATGGCTGAGAGGTGATTTCCCTGAGTGGTGTTTTCCTTCTGGGGAGATGTAGCAATCCCTGGACTAAACCCTGGAAGCTGCTGGGTGCCTCGTGGGGTTCTTTTCTGTGGCATTCCCGAAGGGGCTGTGCTTTAATGTCAGCAGAGCAGCTGCAATGGAAACGCAGGGAAACGTTCCCGGGTTTGTGCTGCAGCCGCTCGTTGTTCCGGTCGGTAGGTGGCCTTTCACCCTTGGATTTCTAACCGGGGCATGTCAGAATGCCTGTGCTACCTCAGTGGCAGAACCTGCACGAGGATGAACGTGTAGCCATGTCTGTGCAGCCACAGAGAGCTCTCCTCCTCCTCCTCCTCCTCCTCCCGTCCCGGCAGCCGGAGCGTGGGCGCGCGGTGGGCGGGATGTCTGCAGCTGGGAATTCCGCTCGCCCGGCACGGCACGTTCCGCTCTCACCGGCGCTTTGTCTTGCAGTTGGCAGATGCTTTACCAGACCAGTCGCCCGCTAAAACCTCCAAAGTGAGCAGCTCCAAGCCTGGCCAGCAGCCCGGGCAGCCTCCGCAGGGCTGGCCGGCTTCCAACCCTTGGAATAACCCCAGCGCCCCCCCTATGACACCGACGGGACTGCCACCGAACACGTCCGCTTCCAGCGTGCCCTTCGGACCTCCTCCCACGGGAATGTATCCTTCAATGCCCCCGGGACCGCCTGCTCCATTTCCTCCTCCTCCTACCGGACCCTCCTGCCCTCCTCCTGGTGGTCCATATCCACCCCCAACTGTGCCAGGGCCCGTCCCGCCGGGGCAGTATCCGCCACCAAACATGCCCTTTCCAGAGCTTCCAAGACCTTACGGAGGTCCAACAGAGCCGGCGGCGCCTCCTGCTCCCGTTGGGCCATGGGGATCCATGCCCTCCGGAGCATGGGGACCAACAATGGGAGGGCAGTATCCTGCTCCCAGCATGCCATATCCACCCCCAGGGCCATATTCCGCTCCTACCCAGACTCCGGGGGCCGCGCCGACGGTGCCGTGGGGCACGGTCCCGCCTGGAACGTGGGGACCTTCACCGCCAGGGCCATTTCCTCCACCCACAGGATCATATCCAGCTCCAGGACTGTATCCTACGCCCCCTAATCCTTTTCAAGTGCCATCCGGCCCTGCTGGTGCTCCGTCAATGCCTGGTGGTCCCCATGTGAGTATTTAGTTTTGATCCGGAGTGACTCCGAATTAGCGCTCGTTTATCGTGGGAATTCAGTAGCACGTATCTCTTAGTTCAGATGAGGAGTTTGAGCACAGGGGGATCACAGCCAACTCCTTAAATGTTAAATATGCCAGAATAGTGATATTATGTCAAGTCTTGGGGCATGTCTCTTGTTATAGTGGTCATCCACTACTTGGAAAGCCTCTAAAAGCCAAAAAAAGGAGGGAGGGGGGAAACCTTGTAATAATTTCAGGAATAAAAAATACTCCAGTCTCTTTTACCTAGAGAGGCTGTTTCCAGGGCACAGAGGGAGGGGGTAACAAATTATGAGCACGAATTTCTTCTTAATCAGGGATTTTTATGGCTGTGAATGAAGTGCTGTGTGAAAAGCCTGTACTGACCGTGAGTTATTGTCTCTTGCAGCCTTACCGCTGAACACGTTCTGGGCAACAAAATACTGTAGTTTTCCACCTTCATCCACTACTTACAGAGATTTTTACAGTTTTTGTTTCAGTAATGTTTGGGGCTGTGAAGAGTATTGCCTCTTGTATGTGCATCTGAGGTATGAAGGAGCAGTTTACATCAATTTACCTTGCTCATGCGCTGGCATAGTTGTTTGGTTTAATAAAGCGAATTTACAAAGAGAAGAAATCAACTAACATCTGTGGTTCTTACCTTGGCAAGCATTCCTTGGAAACAAACAAACAAACAAACAAACAAAACTAAAAGAAAAACGGGAGTTGCCATGTAAGGATTGTAAAGAATCAGGCCTGTGGAGTTTAAAAAAAAAAAAGTTAATTCTTAAATTTCCATTAATGCTTTAAGTCTTGTCGCCAGACTCGCCGCTGGCGACCGAACGGATGGATGGTCATGTTTTGTCTACTTTCAGGTGTATTCCAAAAATGTCAATAAATTAAGGTGTTTCAGCATTTTAGGCAAGAAACCGAATTCCTGAACGTGCTACAGTAACTCTTCTAACGAGACAGAGCATGTTGAACTCCACGGTTTTCTCTCAGCATTTTGTACATACTCAAACCAATTCCTCGGGTCTGGGACTACGGAGGAGGAGGAGGAGGAGCCGCGTTGGAGACCCTTTTGGTGTGACCTGTCAGCACCGGGGGTGTCGGTGCTCCCAAACAGGCCTTTTCTGTGCAAGTGGAATAACCTGGATGTGCAGTTTAAACTTTGAATCAGCAAAAAAAAAAAAGAAAAAAAGGAAGAAAAAAAAAAAGTGAGGTTCTTTTGTTTTGTGCATGCCGATGAGGACGTCCCGTTGCCGGTTCTCATTCCGTGGTGGTTGGAAAGTTTGGCTTGGTCCGTGTAAAGAGAAACCCGTCCCCTCGTAGGTACTTCCCTGTTTCTGGTCATTTCAAATTCTGACTCTGGGGCTGCTGGGCTGTTGTGCAAACCCAGCCAGGCTTTTTCAGATCCCTGGAAACTGAAATTGAGCTTAAAAGGTGAAAAAAACCCACCCTGACCATCCCCTTCCCAGCAGTTTTTGTCACGACGGTTCCGTCGGCTACAGAGATCCTTGTTGAGGACGAGGTGGGGGAAGCGTCTCCCTGGGGCCCTGCTGAATGTTATCCTGGGAGCAGCCCCCTGTTCTCACCTGGGTGTGTGCATACCTCACGGAGTCAGTGGAATTTGGGAGAGATGGAATGTCAGGAAGCCTGTGCACTGCTGTGCAGCTGCCCCCCCCTCTCTCCGAAGGGGCGCTGCCGTGAGTTCTCGTGTCCTTGCCATATCCAAGGGGTTTGCCAAGACACAGCCACGTGTCAGCCAGGAGTCCTGGCCCTCTTGGTGGTACTTCATGGCCTAGGCTTGGGCCACACACAGTTTGTGTCACCCCCAGCTGGGGGGAAATCTCCTAACTTAGCCTCTGTGGGTAGAATTAGGAACAGATCTTCGCTTCACATGGTAGCTCATTAGGGAGTCTTCGTATCATGGAACTGTGACAATGAGTTTAATTTCTCTTCCAGTACCTTCGTGGCTTCCTGCATGCGTGTGGTGGGCAGCTTAAAAACACGTGGGGGTGACCTGGTGGTGACTCTTGGTGGTAGTTGCAGCCTTTATTGCAAATTCCTACAGTATTTATGCAGGAGGAAGCAGCCAGCTGAGCTATGCCTGTTTAAATCTGATGTCATGAAAGCTGATAGCAAAGGAATGTGATTTTTGGTTTTTTTTTTTGGTTTTTTTTTTATTTTAGGAAGACAATACTGGAGCTGAACAAAAATACTTTAAAACCCAGCAACGTAACCTTAGGAATAGGAACCAAAAGTCCAAGTCTCCACTAACCTTAAACAAACCCCAGTTGCCCCCACCCCACCCCAAGCAGTCTTGGCTTAGAACCTTGGCAAGACTAACTAAAAACTAACATAAGAAACATGGACTGCATTTGCTGAAGTGCTTTTTTTTTATTATTTTTATTTTTGATACCTGCAGCCTTAGAGTATGAATCGATGTAATGAAAACACAGTTATTCCAAATGAGTGGATCATGCAGTAGCAGCACTCCAGCTGGAATTGCACTGGCCGTATGTCTCTGCAGGGAATGGGAAGAGGTAGGAAAGGGGAAAGCAAAAGTAGCAAGTAATGCTTTTTTTGGAAAGGGGTTTTGTTAAAAGTAACTAGACTTCTAGGTTCTTCCTGAAAAATAGGCAGGATTTATTACTGGAACATTTAGGCTAAAAATTCAATATATATGGGATGTTTTTCAATGTATATTCGTATTTCTTGAGGTCATGGAGAACTGTTTCATAACCCCTTCGTTTTTGTGAGCAGAGTTCTTTGCATAGCAGTGAAAAGGGTATTTCCTGTTGAATCTATTGTGTAAAAAACTCAAGGTGTCACTTAATATGCCGTGTAGTAACTTTATCACATGTTTATGTCAAGTGTGAGCAACTTCTGGCCTGAAGCTTTCGCAATGGAATTTGTACATTTCTATGCATCGTTTTGAGTTCAACTGCTGAGAAGTTCGTTTTTGACTTGTGCTTTGAGGTTGACATACTGCGTTTGTTTACAACACAGAATATAAGCAATCACATCTTTAAAAGTATAGATTATCACCTGCTGCTGTATTTTCTTTAGAGGAAACGAAAATATTGCTGTACGATAGTGAGAAGCTATAAATACAGGATTTGATATTTTTTTGAAAATGCTGTCACTTTTGTATAAGATTAGACATTAAACGTATTTTCAAGACTGTTGTGTTCACTTGTTTCTCAATTCCTGCTTTTGACATGCCTGTGTAGACTTTTTGCCTTGAATGAATAGTAAAAATAGGACATCCTTGATTTTGCAAAGCCTGAATATAAAATCAGAATTACTTGACTCCTGTGAGTGTTTTTCCTCTTCCTTTTTTTTTTTTTTTTTTTTTTTTTTTGGTGATTTTTGCAGCCTTGTAAAAAAAAGGGCTATTAAATGTGGATGTGACCATGGCTCTGGTGTAGCTGTTGCACATTCACAAAGTCTTTAGTGATTAAGAGAGAAAGGATCTGGTCTTGCTTGTTCCAGAGGAGTGGGACTGGTTTTCACCTGTGGAGAGCGTGGTGTGTGTTTTCCCTGCCTCTGAACAATTCCTGAGCTAGGCTGGCCCAAGTGGACGTGGTCGGTGACCCCCAAGCCAGCGTTTTTATACACCTGTCAGGAGTTTGATGGGATAGGGTGGATAACACAGACGCCAGGGCTTGGCACTAATGAGAACTCCCCAGTTTGGCCACCACTCATGATTACATTTCCACAGAGAGAGGCTTGCAGGGCAGCTCACATCGAGCTGGCCAGGGCTGCTGCCTTTGCTCTCACCTTCACCCTCCCAGGGAGGTAAAAATGGCTGCAGTGAAGAGGGGAAACAAAATTATTTACCCACTTGAAGGCTTGAGAACAAGCTCTGCTTAGAGCGTGGCCCAAAACTGATCCTTCCATCTGTGAACAGAACAGAGCAGTGTGTGCCCAGTGCTTTATCCTGACTCCAGCTGTGGGATTCTCCACTCCTCTGGATTCCTCTGGTGAATTGTCTCTGCAGCTCCTGTGCAGTGGTGGAGATGACACATGGGCATCCTGAGCCAGTCACGGTAATTGCTGGTGCCCTGCGAACCCGGAACGCTCGGGTGGATTGTTTTTGGGGGGATCAAGTCCTAGGAGGATCAGCTTGGGGGGTTCAGCCTGGAGAAAAGGAGGCTCAGGGGGGACCTTCTGGCTCTGCAACTCCCTGGCAGGAGGGGGAGCCAGGGAGGGTCGGGCTCTGCTCCCAGGGAACAGGGACAGGGCAAGAGGAGACAGCCTCAAGTTGTGCCAGGAGAGGTTTGGATTGGATATCAGGAAAATTTCTTCACTCTAATGATGGTGAGACACTGACACAGGCTGTCCAGGGCAGTGATGGAGTCCCCATCCCTGGAGGGGACTAACAAGCCCTGTGGATGTGGCACTTGAGAATGTGGGTTAGTGGTGGCCTTGGCAGTGCTGGAGGAACAGTTGGACTCAATGGTCATGAAGGGTTCTTCCCATCTTAATGATTCACTGATTTCAAGTGATATTTATCTACGTAATTCTTAGGAGAGGTTTGGAAAAACCATTCCAGGGGTCTTGCCAAGTGGTGAGCACAGAGTTAGACCACACTGTAGTGAAGGCCTGGTCTGAGGTGCCCAAAGTCTCTGCAGCCAGGTCCAGACCCATTTCTGTGCACGGGCTCTGCCATGGATTCCCTGAGCAGCCTGTCCAAACTGCCTCCATACTGTCCAGAGAGAGAGATGGTGACCATGGAATCACAGAATGGTTTGGATTGGAAGGGATGCAAATCAAGATCATCTCATTCCAACCCCCTGTCATGGGCAGGGACACCTTTCCCCTCTAATAGGAAGGCTGCCCTGAGTCTCTGTGCAGTGAGACCCTTGGGCACCCAAGGAAGGGTGAAATGTCCCATACATATTTTTATTAATGTTGGCTTCCCTGTTTCCAAGTTAAACACAAAATTCCAGTTGTTGGGGCGCAGTTCCCTACACACCAAACAGCTGTTGTTCTGCAGGCACTGGTACGTTGGGTGTCATCTGGAAAATGAAGAAATGCAAGTTCCAAGTTTCCTACAAAGCTTCCAGTCACCTCATCCCTGCTGGAGGAGTAACTGCCCCTGTGTTACACACCAGGGTGTGCTCACTCCTGGGGAGTGATCCCGAGTGGACTTGGACCTGGATGTGCTCCGTGGGTGGGTGGAAGTATTTGTGGCACTCTGCACTCGCTGCCAGGGCTCCACCCAGAGCCAGCGATCCCTGTGGATCCCCGTGGATCCCTGTGTGTGCTGCTGCTTGGGCAGAGCTCGTGGTACTGAGGGGCGTAGTCTAAGGGGGATGATGGCTCCATGGACATCAAACTTCCATGTTTCACTCAGCATTGGCCCAGTTTTCCCACTTCCAAGGTGTCTGTATTGGCAGCACCTGCTGTAACTTTTGCTCTGCTCTCGCAGTTCAGTAGGATTTGAGTGAACTAAAAACGCCCCTGCAGGTAAGTTGGTAACAGTGGGTGGCATCTATTTGGTCACTCCTGCCTGCAGGCTCTCTCAGGGGTGTTGCAGACAGGTTTCCCAGAGAAGCTGTGGGTGCTCCATCCCTGGAAGTGCCCAAGGCCAGGTTGGACAGGGCTTGGAGCAACCTGGGATAGTGGAAGGTGTCCCTGCCCACGGCAAGGCAGGTGGAGCCTTTAAGGTCCCTTCCAACCCCAACCATTCCATGGCTCTGTGATATTTTTGTTTCGGAGGTTCACTGATTGTTCAGTTTGTCCCGTTGGATGACAGGGAAGGCAGGGGAGTCAGGACTTTGTATCGTCTGTGCAGCAGATCGTGAGTTATGACACAGTTAAATTACGAGTTACACCCAGATAAGTGATCACGGATAGCCAGTGTAGCAGCAGAACTCTGCAGTTCCCTGTTACCCTCCCTGCTAAATGAGAGATGGGAAGATAAAATCACGAAGCCCGTGGTTCTGCCCTCTTCCCAACTTTCCCATGACAGGGCAGGGAAGGGCTGTGCTGAGCAGTCACTGGCACACCTCAGGTTTCATTTCAGGTCCTCCTCCTGTTGTCTGCACAAGATCTTCCCTGCTCTTGCAGATCCGTGTTCTCGTGATTAGGGGAAGGAATTCTTGAAGCAATTAACCCTCCAACTCCTGCATCAAGCTGCGCTGTCAGTCACTGAATTTGTCTGGGCCGTGGTGATGGCTTGATAAACATCTCCCTGCCTCTCCCCCTCTTCCCTCTGCCACCACCACAGTTACCTCCGAGCCAAGCCCGATGTGGTCCCTCCGGATTTTGCTCTCCACGCTCCTGCTCATCAGCAGAGGGCACTGCTGCTGCTCCGCTTCCCCTGGCAAAGCCTCCAGGCGGAGATGATGGCATCCCGTACGAATTCCTTTTAACACCGAACTTGATAAAAAAAACAAACGGAGGAAACCAGCGTTTTAGTGACTCTCTCGCATCTTTGCATGTGCTTTATTGGCTGCTGCAGGAGGAACACAAACGATGCGCGTGGGATTTGAATCTGAGCCCTGTTTAGTGTGAGGTTTCGTAGGAGAATGAATTTCTGTGCTCTGCAAACAGAAGGAGGAAAGGGACTCCTGCACAGCTCTTCTCTTTCCAACTCTCCCGTTCTCCTGAGCTATTACAAAAGCCACCCACTGAGGTGGCACTCGATGATCCTGAAGGTCTTTTCCAACCTCGATGAGTCTCTGATTGCTGTGTAATAAAGTTATTTTAAACTCTTCAGAGCAGGTGATATTGCAGTTTTCTGCATGTCCTATCAGAGATGTCCTAAATGTTGTTTGTAGTACCATAAATAATGCAAACATCTCTTTCTTTGGTGACAGGCTGAGCTGTCCTGGCTTTCTTTGACGCTCATATTTTCCTTCCAGCCCCGTGTGCTCAGTGTGATGTCACATGAGGTTTTACTCTCCTCATGGAGTGTCTTTTCCCATGGCAAAGCTGGATCTGGGCAACATCTGGATGAAGGATCTTCCTTAAGGACCCCTGGGCATCAGGCTGCACGGGGGTTTGTGCAGCAGAGGAGGATGTAATTACTGTAATTACTGTGAAGTTTGGAGCCAGGGGGGATTTGAGGACTTTTGTAAATCTCTGTCCACACAATTTGCTACAAGACTCATTTCAAGCAACTTAGTGCTCAGACAGGCACCAAAGTGCCTCTCCTTTCTTAGTCTTTAATAATATAAAAGTTCCAAACTGCAGCAGGGTTTTGCTCATCTGCAGCATCAGGGTTGGGAGCTGGGTGAAGCTTTTTGGGGTGGATTGGACTTGCTGTTCTCCTGGCACAGTCAGAGCCAGAGGGGATGGACGAGCTGCAGTTTCACACCAGGGGAACTCCTCTGTTTTCCAGGAGGAGGAGGAGGAGGAAGCTGCAAAGGCAGGAGTTTTGCTTTGTTGCTTTATAAAGAGAGAATAAAAGGAGGGTAAAGAGAGAGCAAGGCCAGACTTGCTGGTAGATGTGAAGGTGCATGTGAGCAGCAGGGGCGGTGCTGTGAGATCCAGGCTCTTTATCAGCTGATTTTGGGCTTTCTTTACCCATCAAACTTGAGTTACTGAAGGTCTCAACCTCTCTCTCAGGGAGTTTTTCACCAGTGCTGGGCCAAGGGGATGTTTGGAGAGGGGGAGGTGAGTGATGCAGCCAAGGAAACTTTGGAATGTGCTGTTCAATTCCCTGTTCTCAGAAGCCCTGGGAGGACATTGCACAAGTCTGGCAGGTCACCGAGGAGATTCCCATTGCCTGATTTTGCTGCAAAGCCCTTTTTTATTGCTGAGGAGAGCTGGAGGTGACTCAGCCACTGGAATGCAAGAGCTGAGGCCACAATGACCCCTCGAGGAGGTGCAGCTGGGGCTCCACAGAGGCAGCCATGGCACTGGGGACCTCTTTCCTGGCTCTGAGGAAGGAGGTGTCTCACAGGGGGGGGAAGAAGAGGTGGTGGCTTTTTTTTTAAACAAAGAGTTTCACACTTTGGGACTGTGCCAAGCACGGCCTCAGGGGCAGATCTGCAGCTCAAACATTGCACAGTGGTGGGTGCTGCCGGCTCCAAGCACGAGTCAGGCCACAGAAAATCATGAGACTGAGACAACCTGCGTGGGTGTGGGTTGTTCTGCTCTGTGAAGGGAAGTGGATCTCCAGTGCCATCGAGCCTCTTGCCCCCCTAGATCGATTTCCTTCAAGTTAATTTACGATCAGAAAGAGAAGAGCAGCTTTCTGGTTATCAGTTTCTGCTAAACAGTTTGAAATTGCTGCTTTCAGGTTATTTATCATGATAGAGTTTGATTATCCACGGGGGTGGGGTCTTTTGCCTCTG